CCCCTGCCATAAAATACCGTGGGTGTGAAATTACTGTGATTTACCGAGTCCTGGATGCCAGGGGGTATCGGCCTCGGGAGCCGTGCTGTGGCTGCTGGGTTCCCGCTGTTTGTGGATGACTGAGGCTGCCTGTTCTGCAGCAGTGGCAGAGCAGAGTTACTGCTCCGTGGCCTCACGGATGTTCTGCATCTGGCCCCCATCCATCTTTCCAGTTCATTTCTCTGCTCCTTTCAGGCAGAAGATAGGGCCCAGCCTTGTGCCGTCTTCTGTTGGGAAACACTGTGTAATAAAAATTGGTCGCAAATGGAAAGACAGTCTAATTTAGAGATCATAAATTTCGCATATTCATCTATGCTTTCTTCCAGCAGCACTCTACCCGTGGCAGCCATAGGGAGGTTCCTCTTCACTGTGCGTGCCTGGTTCCTCAGCACTACAGGTCCCAGGAAAGGGGGAGTTTGGAGCAGGCTGATGAGGATTAAGGTTTCCACTCGCATTGCAAATCACAGAGCAGCATTCTGTGAATCTGCACCTTGGATTATTCAGTGGGATTTAGGCCTCTCAGGGCAGTGTTGGTGCTTGGCTTTCATTAACCCCTTGGAAGCTTCTACAGATGATTCCTATTCTTTACAATAGTTTTCAGATGGATTTCTATGAGGAAATTGTAACCTTCCCAAAAAAGTAGGTTTAGAATATAAGACAATGGACTTGAGCGTGGTGCTCAGTTCATACAAACAGTTGTGACGTGGTACAAAGCTGGAAGTGTTTGAAACCTGAAAAAATTATGTTTAAGTTAGAGGTGATCTCTTGTTATCAGAATTTTGGGAAGTGCTTTGTTTGAATAATGTCTTGAGCTTCTCAGTCAATTAATGTTCCAAACACATGTTTTAATTTGGTGCCAGAATACAAGCCACAGTTTCACTACATCAGCTGATCGGGTTCAGTGTCCTATTGCCATGGTCAGTCCAACAGGAAAAAGACGATCCCGAGCTGGCCTTGTTTTTGGGAGGGGGTCACAACCCCACTGGTCCCAGTGAAACCCACATTCCTGGTGATGGCACTGCAACAATGGTTGCTCAGGATGTCTCGTGTGCTTACGATGGGATCTGGAAGTGTGTGTAGGAGAGTGTTTGCCACGTATTGTGGTGGGTTTGCTTATGAAAGAAAGAGCAGAGTCATCCCGACATACGTGTAAGATGTTATTTATTCCTCAGCATGGTAGGTAAAGGCAGTGCCACAGCTCCCAGACCCCGCTGGACTGATGTCCTGTCCACCAGTAGCTATTTAGTGTGATAATGGCGTTTGATAGACTGGACACAAACACCATTGTCACACTCCACAGCTCTGGTAGCAGCAGATCCTTAGTCCATGGAAGAAGTAACGCGCACACATCGCAGACTTCAGCGGGGAGCTTCAGAGATCTGCAAAACACAGAGAAAAGACCGTGTTTAGCGATATTTATACGTAGTTCTTTGAGATTCTCACCAGGGAGTTAGAGACAGGATGCCGAATCTCTTTGCTGTGAATGTTTCATCTCAGTTAGCTGGAGTAATCTAAAAGCTGAATAGCTTCAAGTGTCCAAAGGAGATGGACAGGCACTTTGAGAACGTCCTAGGAGACAGACTAGCGAAGGGATTCTGTGATGTGAGACCAGGGCAGGGATGGGTCACTGCGTTCTCCTCTTTTGGTGGAGACAGCTCAGAACACGTGCCCGACTTACAGAGCTGTGCTAGATCTGAGGAGTCACGGTGCCAAGGATTGCGTTTGTTTTCCATGGACTTGTCTTTACCAGCGTTTCAGAGCTAGCCCACGTACAAACCAGCACGTTGGTCTGCGCTCCTGGTCCCCCTTCACCTGCTTTATTCAGTGCACGTTCTTCTGCGGCACGTCCACACCTATGCAACAGCAAATTAAGCAGTGTCACCGACACACACACGACGGGGGTGTTTAATTTCTTCCCAGGACAGTTTTTTCGGTTTAATAGGATGGTTTTGTGCTTGTGTAG